AGCCTGTCAATAGAAAGAAGATCATACAATGTGATGGAGGGTGACGGAAGTTTAGAAATATGTGTTGTACTAACTGGAGATGTCTCATCAAGCTCAGTGAATATTAGCATTCTTGATTCACAAGGAACTGCAAAGCGAAACTGTAATTTGCTTATTATTATGTCTTGTGTACTTCACTCCCTATATAGCTGACTACACCTTTAATAGTAATACTTTAACTCTGCCTGCTTTTAAGGCCAAGACCTGTACAAGTCTTCATATTATTAATGATGACTTACTGGAACCATTGTATGAGAGTTTTACATTAACAATTTCTGGAATAACACCTGAGAATAGCAACTTCATTTTAGACAGTATCCCATCAACAATTCAAATACAAGATAATGAAAGTAAGCTGAATATTATTGCAATACTTGTTATATCAGTATTTTGTGCATAAGGGCTTATATTTTCATTGTGTGCTGTATAAGGTCTGCTGTACAGTAAATTAACAAATTCATCATCTATAGCAAACCTTATTTTAGCCATTGTGAGATTAGAACAATAAATTTACATGACTCTACAATCACATACTAATTAAAGGCAACAAATTTTGTATAATAAATATTAATAAATCTTACTCCCTACCTGTGTCAGCCATGTAACAAAACTTAAAGGCACATTGTTTTTAGCAATTAAAGTTTTTATGCATGAATCTTTTTGTATATGTTAATTATTATATTTAGTGACACAACGATTAACTGAGGATGTAACTGTACACTGCTACAGATCTGCTGTTGATTGCACTAGTAATACTAATGGAGTCATTCTTGGAGCTATTGACTGCTGTAATAGAACTGGTGGAGGATATATATCTCATTCTTCAGCTACACGTCAATGTGGTGCATGTGTTGGTAAGAATACAATATTTATTCTAGATTCATTATCCACTAGTTGTTGGCTTTGATCAATCACATGTGCATATTGGTCCAAGTGATGCTGGTAGAAGATACTCATTTACTGCTGATGTACTCCTCAGTACTCCTGGGGCTCCTGATGTTATTGATCTGGATTATGTTATTTCAAGAGAGCCCCCAACACTAGTTGATGGTAGATAATTCTTTATAAATTACTTGAATTTTCTGATTACAGTTGCTGACTACTTAAGCATAGAGTTTGCTGGACAAACCAATGGTTTCCTACCAGAAAGGTTTAGCATACGATATGTATCACAAGGGAATGCTGTTGCTCTCCAACCAACTCTTTCATTCAATTACACAATTGCTGTTGAAACTGATCCAGGTGATCCACCAGTACCATCAGGAGTTGTACTTGTATACAGACATCTTAGCATTACAATAGAGGATATAGACAGTGAGTTCATATTGAATCAGTTTATTGTGATCACACACTCTCTCATTTTATAGTAATTACTGTTGGTCTTGAACCTCCATCAATGGTTTTAGAAGGTATGAATGCTGTAGCTGTCATTGGACGTCAAGTAATTACACATGAAGCTCCTTTTAAAGTCACTGTCTCACTTGAGAGGTATACTGGCCCTTTAAGTCGTGATGAAGCTGCTGTGGGACTCTTTGGTATGCATTTGATTTCTAATAAAAATCATTTTTTCTCCTTTATTTAATTAGATTTTTTCAATTTTACTGAGCAGCGTAGTGCTGTATTTCAACCAGCAACAGCAATTCATGAACGCTTTGAACATTTGACTTTCTTCATGCCACGGGATAATATTGTTGAGTTACAAGAAGTGTTTATGTGGAGACTCAGGGTTAATGATTCTAGAGTTAGATTGGACCCTGAAAAAACCACTCAAATAGTAAGACTTGACAATCGAGATAGTAAGTCATTTGTTTATGAGATAATTTTATTTGCTTGCATTATAGTTTTTAGTATTGGGTTTAGAGACCTATATATTACTATTAGAGAAGGAGACGTAGCCCCATTAACTATAAAGCAGATAGGAGATGAGAAAGGTGGTGAAGACATTGGGGGTTATCCAGAGGGTCGTCTACAGCCAGCTCGATTGAGACACATATCTGGGAGTGCTTCAAATGGTTAGTATTAACATGTAGTTGGTATTAGTATTAATTATAGGTAGTGATTTCTTCCTTGATGATATTGCTCCAAGATTAACCTACAGAGCCAATAATACACTGAATGATATTCCATTCGCTCCTATCACTAGTATTGATGATAATATCATTGAGGGAAATGAAACAATAAGAGTCATCATAGTACCTGGTGGTGATAATGTTGTTCAAATACAGAGAGACAGGCAGACAGCTACCATCACCATTATTGATAATGACAGTAAGCTATATTTTAAAAATTATTTTACTATTATTATTCATTGTATAGTTGGTATGCTGTCATTAGAGAGAGGAACATATGATGTGATTGAGAATGAAGGAACTGTAGAAATATGTGCTGTACTAACTGGAGGAGTATTACCAACTAATACAGAAATAACGATACTAGCTAGTGATGACACTGCACGATTCAGGAGTAAAAATTAATAGTCCTATTTGTTGCTTCATATATTTTTTATTTAGGTGACTATAGTACTCGTAGGGTTCGTCCAACATTACCTGCATTTGGAAACAAGACATGTGGTAGATTTAGTGTCATGAATGATTTCATTAGAGAACAACTGTTTGAGAACTTTACAGTAGCAATAAGCAGTATTTATCCAGAAAATAATGGATTAACAATAGACCAGAATTCATCATTTATCAGGATACAAGATGATGATCGTTAGTATAATCATTTATAAAACTCTGTGTGTTTATTATTTATTTTACAGAGGCTGAAGTAAGGTTTGCTATGGGTCAAGCTACATTCTCTGAAGGAGGAGGGAATCAATCAATCACTGTCATACTAGGAGGAGGACAACTGAGTCAAGAACAAACCATAGAAGTTTACATTGATGATGGAACTAGCAGTATGTTTGTAATATATTATATTCATTTATGTAATGAAATAGATGGAATCTCACTTGGTTTTGTCACATTTGGTACTGGTGCTGTAACACAGAACAGGACTGTTGTTTTTCCAGTGGTTGATAATAACATTGCACTGGAACCTGATAAACATTATCTACTAAGATTAAGGAACATTGGTAATATAGGTTTAGGTAATCCAGGAACAATGAATGTCACTGTAGAGGATGATGATGGTAAGTAAATGAATGTTATTCATTTTATCAGAGGTTACTTTTAGTTAGAGATCAAATATTCATTAGCAAATTTGCATAAGAATTTTTTATATTATGCATACATTTACAGTAAAACAAGAGTTTTTAGAGGATGAAATTGTACGGTGTTATTCATCTGCTGCTGATTGTACTAGTAATACTAATGGAGTCAGTCTTGCAGCTATTGACTGCTGTAATAGAACTGGTGGAGGGTATATATCTCATTCTTCACTAACTGCACAGTGTGGTGCATGTGTTGGTAAGATTTTATTTTGTTATAAAAGAAACAGATACTGTGCCTTTAGGCTTTCATACTATTAATTAAGAAATTTTATTATTTCTAGTCTTGCCATGCATCCCATTCACAAAAAGATCGAGCGTGGTGAGACTATCACCAGCTTGCCAAATTTACTGAATTTCATTTCTCACTCTGTCTATAATGCTTTCTATATAACAAATTAATAAAGTTGCGTACAGTACATCTAATATACATTTTTAGTTGTTGGTTTTGATCAATCACGTGTGCATATTGGTCCAAGTGATGCTGGTAAAGAATACCGTTTTACTGCTAATCTACTCTTTGAGACTCCTGGGGCTCCTGATGTTAGGGATCTGGATTATATAATTTCACGAGAGCCAGCAGTTGATGGTAAATTGTAATATTATTTTCTTTAATAATTTATATTAATTTTTCTCTGATTTAAGTTGCTGACTACTTAAGCTCAGATTTTGCTGGACGAACCAATGCTTTCCTACCAGAAACGTTTAGGATACGCTATCTGTCACAAGGAAATGCTGTTGCTCTCCAACCAACTCTTTCTTTTGATTACTTGATTGCTGCTGAAACTGATGCAGTTGCTGGTGATCCACCAATACCATCAGGAGTTGTACTTGTATACAGACGTCTTAGCATTACAATAGAGGATATAGACAGTGAGTTTGTATTGAATCAGTTCATTGTAATCATCTTCTCTCTCTCTTTATAGTAATTACTGTTGGTCTTCAAGAGCCATCAATAGTTTTAGAAGGTAGTACTGCTACAGCTAGAGTTGAACGTCAAATAATTGCATATGAAGCTCCCTTTGTAGCCACTGTCTCAAATGAGAGGTATACTGGCCCATTGGCTCCTGATGAAGCTGCTGTTGGAGACTTTGGTATGGAAGAGTATTAATTATTTACTTCATTTATATACAATGCAGATGGTTTTAACTTTACTGAACAACATAGTGTAGTATTTCAACCAGCAAAAGCTAATGATGAACGTTTTGGGAATGTGAGTTTTTTGATGCCACATGATGGTATTGTAGAACTACAAGAAGTGTTTATATGGAGACTTAGTGTTAATGATTCTAGAGTTAGGATAAGTACTGACACTCAAATAGTAAGACTTGACAGTCAAGATGGTAAGTATTGGCCAATGGGGCAACATTATTGCTCTTTTTTAGTTTTCAGTATTGGTTTCAAAAATTTACATGTTACTATCAGAGAAGGAGAAGTGGCAACATTAACTATAAAGCAGATAGGAGATGAGACTGGTGGTGAAGACATTGGAGGATTTCCAGAGGATCGTTTAAGTCTAGTTCAATTGAAACACGCATCTGGGACTGCTACAAATGGTTAGTAGTAAGTTAGTTGTTTAGTAAAATCAGTTTTTTTAGGCGCTGATTTCTCCCTTAATGATACTGTCCCAAGATTAACTTTAAGAGCCAATAACACACTGAATAATATTCCATTCACTCCTATCACTAGTATTGATGATAATATCATTAAGGGAAATGAAACAATAAGAGTCACAATAGTGCCTGGTACAGATAATGTTGTTCAAGTACAGAGAGACCGGCAGACAGCTACCATCATCATTATTGATGATGACAGTAAGTTATATAATAATTGAGAAGAGACATGACAAAATCTATTTTTCCATATAGCTGGTGTGCTGTCATTAGAGAGAGGAACATATGATGTGATTGAGAATGAAGGAACTGTAGAAATATGTGCTGTACTAACTGGAGGAGTATTATCCGAAAATACAACAATAGACATAAGACCTAGAAATAACACTGCACAATTAAGGAGTAAGTTTTAATATTACTATTGAATTATGTGTTGTTTTAATTATTAGGTGACTATAGTACTCGTCGAATTCTACCAATATTACTTGCATTTACAAACAGGACATGTGGTAGATTTAATATTATTGATGATTTCATTAGAGAACCACTGTTTGAGAACTTCACCATAGCAATAAGTGGTATTTTTCCAGAAAATAGTGCATTAACAATAGACCAGGCTCCATCATTCATCAGGATACAAGATGATGATCGTTAGTATAATCATTTATAAAACTTTGTGTTCATTATTTACTTTACAGAGGCTGAAGTAAGGTTTGCTATGGGTCAAGCTACATTCTCTGAAGGAGGAGGAAATCAATCAATCACTGTCATACTAGGAGGAACACAACTGAGTCAGGAACAAACCATGGAAGTTTACATTGATGATGGAGCTAGCAGTATGTTTATTATAGTTACATTACATTATGTATTCCTTTATACAATGAAAAAGATGGAGTATCACTTGGTTTTGTCACATTTGGTACTGGTGTTTTAACACAGAACAGGAGCATCAATTTTCCAGTGGCTGATAATAACATTGCACTGGAACCTAATAAACATTATCTACTAAGATTAAGGAACATTGGTAATATAGGTTTAAGTAATCCAGGAACAATGAATGTGACTGTAGAGGATGATGATGGTAAGTAAAGAGATTGATAAAGATTGTGCAAATGGTTTGTTTTATAGATGTTTCTGTAATTTTTGTGCAATCATCATACAATTATAACGAAAGTCATGGAACTGTCAGTAATATTCAGGTGCAACTAAGCAATCCAATTGCTCAAGATCTGTCTGTCAACATTGGAGGAGGTGAGATAAATAGATGTTGTATGTAGCTTATTGAATTACTAAGCAATAATTAATATCATATTGTATTTGTTTCTTTATTAGGCCCTGGCAGTCAGCCATCTTCTGTTTTTGTTTCAGGAGCTGTTGTGTCCGAATCCATAAGGTTTATTGCAGGTGGCAGTGCATCAGTGTCACTGAGTAATTTTGCTCTCATTGATGATGCTGTTGCATTAGAAGTAGTTGAACAATATGACCTATCATTAATTAATCATGATTATACTGATGAACCCAGCAGAGTGAGTCTAGGATCAAACACTACTCTATCCATTACAGATGATGATGGTAAATAGTTGCTCTTTAAAAATACTTTCATTATTCTTATACATTTTAGTTGTTAATGTGACCTTTGGTAGTCAGATGTACTCATTTTTTGAGAATGAAGGAACAGCTCAAGTATCCGTTAGGCTAAGCAGAATCATTTCTCAGACATTTACAGTTAGAGTTGAAGGAGGTGAGTTACAACAGCATGCTAGTTTTACATTACCTGTATATTATATAGCATTGCTAAGTTTGTATGTATTTTTTTTAATCAATATTCCTTTTGTTTTTTTATTGTGCTCTCATCCAGGACCTGTTAATCAGAGTATAACATTTAACCCTGCACAGAGGGTTGGGCCTATATCCTTTGGTTTGAATGATGATTTAGTTGCCCTAGAAGATCCTGAGAGATTTCAATTGAGATTCTCTCGGCACAGTTTTCCTGATGGCAGTAAAGTTAGACTAGGATCAAACAGTCAAGTCTCTATTCTTGATAATGATGGTAATTTTTATTATTATATATAATGATACAAAACTTTTTCCATTGTAATATAGTTGTTAGTGTCACATTTGCTCAGTCAAGTTATTCTTATTTTGAGAGTAATGGAACTGCTAGTAATATAATGCTGAGACTTAACGCAACAATTGCACGTTCACTCTCTGTTCTTGTATTAGGAGGTAGGCAGCATCATATTGTTAGTATCAGAATTTTTTTATACTGATCATCCTGCTATAGAGTCGATCTAGTACTATGTGTCTATGTATAAACCTAATAGGCTATTCACTATTTTGTTCCTAGGACCTGGAAGTCAGCCTAGCTCAGTAGTTGTTTCTGGTGCTGATGTGAGCTCAACTGTAACTTTTGCCGTTGTTGGTTCATTCACTGTACCTCTCCCTTCTTTTGTCATAACAAATGATGATGCTGCATTGGAAGAACTTGAGAGTTACTCGCTCTCAATTTCTAATCCATCGATAACTCAAAATGTTATTGCTGCTGACAGCACTGACATTGATATCACAGATGATGACAGTAAGTGCCATGTACTATTGCACATACTGTGATACTGTCATTGTTATTATAATGTACTATTCAGTAAGCTGCCAATTGTGATCAGTGATCACCCATTATCTTACATCTCTTATTTCTCCCATAGTAATTACTGTTAATCTTGAACCTCCATCAGTAATTTTTTTAGAAGGTAGTAATGCTGTAGCTGTCATTAAACGTGAAGCTATTACATATAAAGCTGCTTTTGAAGTCACTGTCTCAAATGAGAGGTATACTGGCCCATTGTCTGTAGATGAAGCTGCTGTTGGAGACTTTGGTATGGATAGGTATCAATTATTTACTTCACTTATGTACAATGCAGATGGTTTTAACTTCACTGAACAACATAGTGTAGTATTTCAACCAGCAAAAGCTAATGATGAACATTTTGAGAATGTGAGTTTTTTGATGCCACGTGATGGTATTGTAGAACTACAAGAAGCGTTTAGATGGAGACTCAGTGTTAATGATTCTAGAGTTAGGATAAATACTGACACTCAAATAGTAAGACTTGACGATCGAGATGGTAAGTTATTGGCCAATGAGACTGCGGCAACATCATTATTATGGTTCTTTTATATAGTTTTCAGTATTGGTTTCAAAGATTTACATGTTACTATAATAGAAGGACAAGTGGCAACATTGACTATAAAGCAGATAGGAAATGAGACTGGTGGTGTAGACATTGGAGGCTTTCCAGAGGGTCGTTTAAGTCCAGTTCGATTGAGACAAGTATCTGGGACTGCGACAAATGGTTAGTTTTACCTTTTATAATTATTAATAATAAGAGCAACCATGCATAGGTAGTGATTTCCTCCTTAATTCTACTGGTCCAAGATTCACTTTAAGAGCCAATAATACACTGAATGATATTCTATTCCAGCCTATCACTATTGATGATAATATCATTGAGGGAGATGAAACAATAAGAGTCATCATAGTACCTGAGATGTATGGTCTTATTCAAGTAGTGAAGGAATGGCAGACAGCTACAATTACCATTGTTGATGATGACTAAATCTAATTACATTAAATAAA